ACAGTTGGACCGCTGCGTTTATAATTCTGCCTGAGGAATTCGCTTTCTCGCAGCCGCGTCAAGTGACGCATCCCATGCCGACCACTTCTGGGCCGCCCATCTATTGTGGGTTGTGTTGCGCGTGTATTCGACTTGGCGGTGTGCATGTCTTGCAAACCTAACTTGAGAACATTTCAAACCAAGTTTGAGAGAAATCCACGTTTTGAGTTTTATTAAACATTCCAGTTTGGTAAATTCCTAGGATTACAGGCTGAAGGCTTGTCGATCTTTCAGTTTTGAGGGAAAGCTAATCAGCTCTCACTGACATGACGATCCCTGGTGCAACACAGACCACACTGCATAACAGAGAGGCTGACCCGTGTCACATGTTAGCCTAAATGTTGCAGTGGTCCGCCACAACCATTGGCGTTTTTATCCTGGACCGGTGAACACAGACACGACTGGGTGTGGTTCGATTCGACGCATTCTTCATTTTCTTTTGATGCGACTAGCCGTAGCTGTTGGCACGAGCTGCCCGCCACAAGTTTACCCGCCACAAGTTTACGTACATGGAGTGGATAGTAATGATCGGAGAGATGCTCTCCGTGAAGTTAGACTTGCTGGGTCCACCAGGCAGGTGGCTTGTATTTGTTCGATGTGTTTAACGAAATAAAACGTCTAGACGTTTCCATGCAGCTTGCGTGGAGCCTTGTTGCAGGCAGAGATCCTTCCTCATCTCCATGACCGGTCGCAATGAAGGCACGAGTTGTAAAACCTGGGGCTGGCGATTGTGACACCAGCTCAGGAGGGAGCCTCCATCCGCGCATAACATGGATCGTTTGGTGAGCGCAGAGATTCTCAAGAATTGCTGGAACCGGATACTTGGCAGGGTCGCGGCGACCCGGAGCATCCCACTTTACGGTCTCATGCTGCGAGACTGTCTCAGAGCTTCTCCTCGCGCATTCAGGTCCAACTCTGTGGCTTTGCTGAGTCCAGACTCCATGTGACCACTTTTGTCACTTTTGCACAGAATCATCACCGAAGGGTAGCACTGCCAGGGGCTGAATTAGTCTCACAACCCTAGCAGAATCCTCCACCGGCGGAAGCTCTCCGTCAAGCCGTGCAGGCACATGGTGTGATATGAGCCGTAAAGCCGAAACTGGTCGTCCTGAAGATGCGGCCTCACATCTGAAACCGGCCCTGTGCCATGCTGTAGGTACCGCCGCAAGCTTAAGCAATGCCCTTCAATAGAATCTTTATGTGTTTCGGAACGTGGTTCTGACTTCCCCATGTGCTGGGCAACAACACCATCACATGCGAATGTGCTCAGACAAGTGCATGTGAGCCAGCTGCGACAGAGAGGTCGGTCTTTACAATACTATTGAGTGTGAACCAAGATGTTAATTGACAAGTGTAGGCCACGACAACGCAAACCATTCTGCCTAGTGACTGCCACCAGTGCATCGGTTTGCGAGGTGTGCAAACGAGATCTTGCAGACGGGCGCACATAGTGTCATTATCGATAATGCGTCGATAACGGCTTTGTAGGATTTTCTGGCTTGCAAAGCCAACAGGCCCACGCATGCTTACAATCTTGTGAATTTCAGGACTCCAAATCCTAAGCGCAATCCGGAAAAGCTTTAGGGGGTTTGGGGTTTTACTTCGGGGCTTTTATTTTCGAGGTTAAGCATCAACCTTGGATCAAAAAAGCCTTGTCAAGACCCAACCTCTAAGCTGCAAAGGGAACTCGGGATCAGGCTTCAGGCTTGCAGGCCAAGGGCAAAGCCGAAAATGCAACAAGAACCTTCATGCTCCACGGTGTCCCCCACCACATACCAGCACCAAAATCAACAGCACCAGGTCATGAGACCGCCTTTCAGACGTTGAGTATTGCCGCGCACTCACATTCTGCAGCTGCTGGCAGCATCCCATGATGCTCTGTGGAGCCAAGCGGCACCTGCTCAGTGCTTGAGGCGTGTGCGGCGCTTCGATTTCGCCAGCGCCCGAAGCCGGAGGCCGTGTTGCAGGCGGGAAGGGCTTCGGAGTGGGGATTTGATGTTTGAGCTGGCTCCAGCTTCAATGGACACGTTGCAGGGACTGTCCTTTGGACCTTCGGTGCATCTGAAATTGCGAGCGTTGTCACCCGCAGCAGGTGATCGATGCCCCTGCGAGCTCGACTCCTGTGCCCTTCGCGGCGGCCTCTACTTTTTGTGCTGGGTTTGCTTGAAAGAATCTGGAAGCCTAGAAGCCTCACTGCCAGAGAGATCTTCTGCAAGCAACTTGACTCGCATCTGTGCCTTGGGAAATATTACTGGTGTGCAGGGAAGACCCCTTCCATCCTTCAGAAGTGCTGCCAGGCCTGCAGTAAAGCAGGTGCAGAGACGGAGGCAGCTAGGATGCCTGCGCATGACCAAACGGCCGGCATGCCAGAAATTGGAGAAGCCTGCTGCGGCTTGCTGATTTGAGTCCACAATCGCGTGCCGAAAGAAACCAGAAATTTGAAGCCATGATCCGACCTGAATGGATAAAAGTGCGCCTTCTAGAGGGTATGGATCAGACCGTTAAGGCCCCGAGTTGGTCATTCTGGTTTCATCTGTGCCAAAAAAGGCCAGCCAGAGCGCCTCCGTCGGCAAAGCCCTGCCTGCAGCAAAGGTGTCTGAGATGACTCCGGATGGCAGGATCATGCCAATGCACGCTGTCTCCACTCTTGGCTCTTGCCCGGCGCGACCTGGGCGATGCGCTTCCCATGGCTCTCTTGCAGCTGGTGCTTGTGCTGTGCCCAAGACCGCTGCCCATACAAGATTGAGATACCTCGCTTCTCTTCCGCTCTGCCGGCGTCTTAGCCGATCCAGCCAGAGTGCCTCCATCGGCAAAGCTCGCTTGCAGCACGGCTGTCTGAGTGGATTCCGGACATTGACCCGATTATGCAAGCTGTCAAGACCCATGGCTGCCGAGCTCGACCGTCTTCCAGGGCAATCAGTCTTATGCGCTGCACTTCCGCACATGGCTCCATTGCATCTTGCGCCGGACCCAAGACAAATGCCCGTACTGGACTCAGATTCCTCGCTTCTCTTGCAAAGTCTGCCGAGGCGCCGGGGATGACTCTGCCGGCGTGTTAGCTGTGCCAAAGTGCCAGCCAGAAAGCCTTGCTTGGGGTGCGGCTGTCTGAGACTCCGGACGTGGGCATCTCCACATTGGGCTTGTCTTTCCATGCTCCATAAACAGTGCGGTGCTTTTCGCAGAGCTCCTGCACTCCGAGCACCGGCCTCCATAGAGGGCTTTATTGCCGCCACCAGCTTTCGTTGATCCGGGCCTTGGCCCCTTTCTGTTGTGGGCTTTTCCGTGTGTTAGTGCCAGGTGCTGCAAGCGGCGCGTGACGCTTGCTTGACACCCTGAAAACTGCCATGCACTGGCCAAAGCCAGCCAAGCCGGGCGGCGACAGCGGCGATGCAGACGACTACAGTCTCCTTGGGAGCTCGTGATGCCGCCGCATCTGCCGCAGCTTGGAAGCTGTCTTGCTGTGAGGCAGAGAGGTCCAGGTCCACGGAGTCTAAAGAGTCCACGCCGCAGTCCCTGAGCTGGAGAAGTGTTGCTGCCTCGCTGGCGCAGCGCAGATTGCAGAGATCCACGGTGTCCCGGCCTGCATGAGAGTTTCAGGCAGACTCGGCCGACCCATGGAGTTCTGCAGGATCACGCCCTCTGGCAGAAGGTGGCGACAATATGATATGCAGGGCGCAAGTCTGTGAGCCTCGAAGGAGCTGGCCTGCCCTGGCGTTCCTAGGGCTCTTACATGGCACGTGCTAGGGATAGCCGAGCTTCACTTTCTACTTCGCTTGAGGCGCAGGCGAAGGGCCTACAGCAGCCATATCTCAGACTTCCGAAGAAGGTGCTAGAAGGAGGCAAGCGGCCTCGCGCTGCAGCAGGCACATGCAGGCTTCCCTGCAGGCTTCTGCCGGCTTCCAACTTTTCTCGTGACCCTTCGGCAAAACTGTTGCAACAAGTGTTCCAACTAATCCGGAGCTGGCCAAGTGCTAACACAAAATGATGCCACTCAGGTGCCAGACAGCAGCTAGGGCACCGCTGTCTGCCTCCATGGCTGCCCTCATTGAAAATGGATGCAATCCGAGGGCTTTTCTTTGTTCCTTTACCTCCGAAGCTGGCCCTTTGCAAACCAGAGGGCGAATGGGCGGTTGGGTGCTTTACACGACGCGTCTCTCTGATAACCGCTTTGGCTTTCTGGGGACCTTTCTCTCCCACAGCCGTCCGGCCACACTCTGCCAGTGGCATCAGAGGAGGCAGACCCCAAGCTCTCACGGCTCAGCAGCATATTTTCCATGCTGCACCAGAACCTGAGCGATAGGCCAGGAGGGCCAGGATGTGTATTGAGCATGTCACCTGCTTCCAGTGTTGTTGGACACCCGGGTCGGTTCGTTGTACTGGAACGCACTATGTGACGCTCTAGC